ATTATTTTCAATTTAAATACTACTGAAAAGATCCAAACCATCTATCTTCATTAATATAGCTATACACACATATATATATATATAATTTGTATAAACATATATTCTGTGCTTTTTTATTTCCAATTTGTAGACTACCTGCACTTTCATTTCTTTAACAATTATTGATGACTCACAACATCTTAGAACCGCTCGCAACCATTCTAACTTACATTTACTTTTTCAAAATGCCACTTACCAGTTTACGCAATTGTAAACCACATTTTTTATTCTCGACTATCCAATCCTGGAATTATGTCTAATTGCTGCATATTTGAAACGTATTTTGGTTATTAAATGATATTTTCATACTAATTTATTACATTCCCTATTTCTAAAATAAGCAAGTAGGGATAAATGATTAAAGTCATTGTCATGCCAACGAACCAGTAATTCATGCCCAAAGCAATGCTGATGCAATAATTTTTCGCCTAATTGATATGCGCCTGCCAAAAACTCCAGCACTAAAATATTAAATATAATTATGTTCAAAAGCGCATTAATTTATTGAAATACTATGCATATATAACAACACTGTTATGAGCACAGGAGATAGCCTCTTTGGCTTCACTATAGGCAGCCCATATTGTACCATAATATATTAACCAAGTTTCCTAATTTTTTGACTGTGATAAAATTTTTAAAATTAGTCAAACAAGAGTTAGACTATTTTATGTAATTATTAATATGTTATTTACGGCGTCCGTTTCAACTCATTTTTCCGCTCATGGACGACGAGGGCGCTAGCCTTACTAGTAGCTATGACAATTATTTGAATCAATCACGAGACCATTGGGACCCAGAATATGATAAAAATCAAGTACAGGCCAGCCAAGCATGTATCCTTAGGATAAAAAAAGACCTTATGGGAATTTACAAGTATGTCGTGACTGCAACACCCATTATCTCATTGGCCTGTCTATTAACCTATTTTAAGGAGCTGATTAATACTTTGCTTAGATTCATCTATATTAAGAATTTTCTCTTTTAGATACACATTAACAGCGCAGGCCGCATTTTCCATGATCCTTGCCTATTTCATTTCTTAATTTCCTTAATCACCATTCATTTTTAGCGATCCAGCACCCGGAATTTGTGTCGTCCCTGATAACGACGATATGACAAAGATCTATGCCCTCGTGACAGGACCTTTTGATACACCTTACGAGGGTGGTTTTTTTGTCTTTCTTATTGGATGCCCTCCTAAGTATCCTCTCAAACCTCCGAAAGTCAAGCTGATGACTACAGGAAATAATAACGTGAGATTTGGGCCAAATTTCTATAAAAATGGAAAAGTAAGTTACTTTTTATTAGAATTCTTACAATTGTACTTGCGTATCTCGGAATTTGAATGTACATTAGCTATTGTGTCTTGGACGCATTGCTTTGGTAGGAATTTCTGAAAAGGTTTACCTGAAACTCAAGGAGGTAGAGATTGTTGGATTTTTTAAAAAGTTATCGGTCTACCCTCTTGTTACTCCGAGAACTTGTGCTAAGCCTTTTGTATAATGATCAGAGCAATCACTTATACATTAGTAAATAACACTACACTAAACTAAGGAATTGGCTGAAACCATAATCATTCAGTGGCTTAATTATGAGCTCAATGCCTTAGCTGATGGATCATTTGGAGGCTCTTTTTTTCAGAAGCATTCCCAGTTAAATAGTTAATTATTTGGACGATTACTTTACTGTTTGGTAGCACGACAAAGAAGGTTTGAAAGAATTACTTGAGCTAATGAATTGATTAGCTGATGTTATAACTTTGCTGTGCAGTTATAAAATGGTAATAAATTATCTTTCCTGGATGTATTAGTGCATAAATGAGTTAATAAATGGGAAGCCGTCACATGCGAATTTCCTTAGTAATTATGTATCCTTACATATATGGCTAAGGTATGTGTTACAAAGGCGCTTGCGTCTAACAGTCATAAACCAAAGGCCAGAAGAACGGTAGATATTTCAAAATATTTATCCATTAAGATTAAAAGATAATTACATTTCAATATTCAGTAACAGGATGAGATATTTTTATGACAGGATAGACATGTACCATTCTACTTGATTCCTGTTTTTTCCCTCTGGTCAGTCACGAAAAATTTAGCTGGCCTACTGAGGAAGTCGGGCATCAGAGTATTGTGTGAAACCGACTGATTTCAGTCTTCCCGAAAATTTTCGAACTTTCCTTCTGGCTTAGGCTGTAACGAGATTTTGTGCTCATGCGATAATTTCTATGCAGGGGATGCATGCCGGCCCATCTAGGAGAGATTATCCGAACACAAGACTGCTTATAATGGTATATGACTCAAAAAACCTGTACTCCTTGAGCACATGGCTTGTAGATGGCACTCGATAGACTGTTATAAAGCACGTTTTGCCGGGTGCATGGATTTAAAATAAAGACTTAAGATTTGGGGCTCGATAGAAATTAATAAAACAGACAATATCCTGAATACGAGGTACGAGTTTAGCAAGTTGAACATGAGCCTTCCATGGCTGTTGGATAAACTTAA